TTAACGGAACTGAACTACCAACCGGAGCATCGGACCTACCAGTACAGTGAGAACATTCCTGGGTTGACCTATAAATGTCCATCGGTTTTACACTACTTGCACCAGTTTTCAGTAGCTGTTACTGCGACATGATTTTAGCCGGGATGCGGAGCTAGCAGAGGACGAGATCAGTTCAGCAAGAAAGGCCACTTCGCCCCAGGATGGATCTCCAGCCTTGGTTTCTCAATCATGAGCTCTTCGTTCATGAGCACTAAATCAAGCACAGATGGTTTATTTCCGGCTCTGAATCAGGTGGATGAACTGACATGGCTGGAGAGCGGAATGCTTGTAATATACTCTTGCAGGTCGGGTTTAAACTGCTCGTTGGGAGATACCGGAACTTTCAAAGCAAGAAGATTGAAGTCACCGGCAATGAGAACATGACTGTATCGTCCTCGTTGTACCCTTCCCAAGGATAATGCAAAGCGAGTGTCCATCTCTGGGGTGGACATTGAGGAACGATAAACAACAGCCAAAAGGTAAGTGTTGTTGCGTCTCAGTCGCAGACTGCACCAGAGTGAGTCTATGATCAGCGTTTCCGGATCGGCCACCGGTTCGCAGTGCAAGTCGTTGCGGTAGTATAACATTACCCCTTCGCCTTTGCTAGGTCGATCGTTTCGGAGAAGGGACGTACCATTTATCGCGACTTCGGCATCCGTGATTTCTGAGTACAACCAGGTTTCCGTAAGGAGTATGAGGTCCCAGGCATGTGACGCTTGACGTAGCCGCAGTTCGGCAAGCTGGTTCAGGAGACCTTGTGCATTGGTGTACATGCAGGAAAGTTTTGCAGTTTTGGCAATGAAACGCGGGATGGGTGTTTTGGATAAAATGCTTTACCGACCAGTAAAACATCGGCAACTGATCGTTTTTTGGGTGGGGGGATGACGAACTCATCTGTGTCCGATTCATGGATCCTACCATTATCTCTTTGCTTCTCTCTTTGTATATAATGTATGGGGTGTGTTTGTCCGTTTCGTTGGTTAGTTGATTGAAGTTATCCGAACTCTTGTCGATAAGTGGTCTGACTAAGTGGCTGCTCTCGTGTGTTTGCTTAGCAGATGCTGCTTTGATCCGGAGCTCGGAAGGAAGGCTGTTGCGGCACGCATACCATCCCTCCACTACCATTGCTGACATTTGTCTAGATTGAAGGACCACTTTCACAATCTCGGGCCATGTCCTTTGTAGTTTGGCGATCGGCGCAGCCTCGAGATTGATTGCGCTATGACATTTTCCAGGGAGAGGGTCTCGCGAATGTACCGCCATTGTTCCTGGTCGTGAGTCGTCGCTGCGCGCTCATCAAGATTTCCAGCCTAGGGAACACGGTGTACAAGGATGGTCCTGGCTACGAATTCCTTCCGGTTTTCGTCCAAGTAGTGCTTCGCCTGTCTGCGCTCGCTCCACGGAATATCCGGGAATAGGCGGATGGAACATGACCCATTCCGGAGGCGAGCTGTTGATAACAAGACAGCTTCTGCTTCATTGGCAGAGGTCAGCACAATTCGGAGAAGTCTTGGTTCACCGTAGTGCTGTGAGTTTGGGTGACGGGTAAGGCGTGTCAAATTTACGGGCTTAGTTACAACACCTATAGTGTCACATATGGAGTTCCACTGGTTCACGTCATCGAATTGTTTTCCTTTTAAGGAGTTTGCTATCGGTTCTGGAACGTTGGTGCAAATTATCGCTGGTATACTACGTGAAACTTTGGTTGAGGTCAAATGACCAGCTAGTCTGTATACAGTCTATAGAGGCTGTTTGGGTCCAGCTTCGTCTTTTCCATTTACTATGGGTCCATTGGGAGTGGCCGAAGATCTAGGTTTCCGGTCACCTTTGGCAGCAACCAAATACCAACCACCACTGGTGTCGAAGCTCTTCTGAATTTTCAGAACCGTTTGGAGGGTGGACGAGGCCCTGACCGTGCTCACTGAAATAGGACTGGCGGTGGTTGTTTCAGGCATATTTGAGTAACCGGTGGTATTGGCATTTAATGTCACAGATGATGCATTTTCTACGCGCTGCCAAACCTTCTTCCTCAGATTTAATGCGGTACTGGATGGGGACTGACCTAGATTTACTTTCTGTCAAGCTTTCTACAAATGAATCGTTTTTGGTGCCCCTCATCTGTTTAGACATTGCTACTAGTCTTTCGTACTTCCGCGACAGTTCAGGTACAATCTTTATCAGTGGGATGACTATACATACTGAACAGAACCACAGTAATCTGGTTTACTATTGTTTAGGTCCAACTGGTTCACTGTGAGCTTGGAACAATTGCGATGGAATTTGCTTTGGTAACTGTTACGTTGAATACCGATGTGTACATTTTTATGGCATGAAGGAAGGCCACATACTACTGTCAATCTGGATGTGATAACATGGGCTTTTGATTGGTCGCCACGATCCATTGCGTCGATCGATGGTAATCTCAGAGAGGCCCGAGCGCTTATGGTTTCCTGCCGGTCGCGTGTGCGCTGAGTTGTCTGCATGTTCAAGGTCGTCACGTTCTGTGCGTCTGGCCCAAGCGGGGCAGGTTTAAGTGGCTAGATCGTTCACACGGCAAACAGAGCGACTGAGGGATACGGACACAACGTGTAGGAGAGCTAATTTGCTGGACGGTCCACAGCTGTGGTTTCTGACTCGTCAGATGAAATGTGTAGTTGGCTTTCTTTTGAGACCACAAATATTTCTGTGTGGTTCGTGATTCGGAAAATTCCTCGATTGTGTTTTTGCGGGAATAGCGCAAAAACCGCAATGTGGAGATAAAAGACGATCCACACAAGCTAAATCCGAAAGATGGAGTGCACTAGATAGCGCAGATGAATCTGGGTCGAATGAGTGTGAACACACGTTTGTGTGACAAAATGCAACTGAGAACGACGGCAAAACAACGTGTTCACAGATGAGCGATTGGAACGCAGGTTCGTTCAAGGTCGTGCTGCACTGCACTCAGCACGTGCAGCGCTCCACAACCGGTTTAGAACTTAACCAGAAGAAATTCTGTGTGCGAATTCATTTGATAGAATGAACCATGCGAGGTGCAATGGTTTACCACGATTCAGCAGCCGCACCACCTGGCAGGTGTGGTTAAGTGACCTGACGCGAACTTCCTTGACGGTGTCTAAGTCTCAATTCCTGGCTAGCTGACCAGTGCAGGAGTAATCAGCAATGATAGAGAGGAGCTTTTGGACTGTTGTGGCGCCACAAATCCGCCCATTCGTCTTATCCTTTTAATCTATTGGCATGAATGCCTGAGTCTCATGAGCTTGGGTTATCCACGTCCGAAGGGTGCAAACATGGGCAAAAACCAATCGTCCAATGTAGTGTGGGGAGCGTTTCATACCACAACAAATCTCCAATTTAGTCCCAGGCATCTGGATGAAGGGGGTTTATGTCAAACTAACCCGCGGTCAAAAGTGAGATTGCATGTTGCAACCCAAAGCGGACAGTATCGAGTGTCCCAACATATAATTGTGAAGTTCGTACAGCTCAATAGCTTAGCGATGAAGACATCAGCCGCCACTAAACCATTGCTCGGGCCACCATCACTACTCAGTCAATGTCTTGGCCAGACCCTAAGCCCGAGTGTCAAAGAGGCTCGTCCAGGGCACATCCAGTGGTCGTGTTTGATGCCGGACTAATCTGGATGAGCAGCGGAGCCTGAGAACTGTTGTATGCGAACATGATCTTTCTGTTTTTCAGTGTAGATTTCTTTCCATTGATATTGTATATCCTGGATTTTACGCCATCCATCGAGTGTCTTTATTTAGCCTACTTAACAAAATTGTACGCTTATTGTCATCCCTTAAAGGAATCAATCGGGAGTAGATGAGCTAATTATCACCAACAAAGCAGGCCGTGTCTGTATATACAGTTGGATCTTAAATTATAGTCGGCTTTGTTGGAATGTACGAGTGTTTATCACCGAGGCTTCTCTACGCTACTACACGCTACGTAATTAAGCACTGATTGGTGACAAAACGTTTGCATCCAAATTGCAAAGCTCAGCGAATAGTTCAACTGCAAGTGTTTATCATTGTTCTACACGATTGTACAAATATCGATATTTCTTCCAGAAAATTTTTGATTGCTAATTTTTACGCGTCGTTCCAAAGAAGTTTATGTTCACCTCTAGGATCTCTGCGCTCATTACATCGCTGTTGCAGATGATATTTAGGAAGGGCTTTCGAATTAAAGCAAATGAAGGTGTTTAGGCTCCCAAGGTCGCACTGTGTCGCCCTGATTAGCTATTTCGAACCGGACCTGTCTAATTGGCCGATTAAGAAGGCGACGTCTAGGTCACCAGATCGACCAATGAGATTATTCCATTGGGTTATTGGGTAAGGTTGGATTCTGCTTTACGTAGGGTGTGTTAATGTACTTCTTGAAAAGTGCTACACCTAACATGGAGTAGGTAAGGACTTGTGATAGAGTTTTTCGTGAAAGTCCATCGCGGCCAGACAATCAGACAGCCAGCACACAAACGAAAAAGGCAATGGACAGCTGTTTCATCCTAGTTAGACTCGCTAGTAACAGGAACCTACTGGATCCGAAAGTTACCAGGTCTTGAGTAACGGCGGCGGACTTCCATTACTGATTATCAGCTTGGATGTTGCGCGGTCCACCCTCCACTAACATCTACGCTACGGCATTGCAGAGGACAGGGTTTGACCCAAGACTGTAGTCAATTAAGCGAATAAATGACAAAATTTCTTGGTGATGCGATAAGTCTTTCCCGTTGAATCTCAAATCACTAAAAAAGGGGCTGCCTGTGAACAATAGAACGTCTTAGTTGGATAGCATGTGCCAGTCGCAGAGACAAGGCTCCATCTAATAATTTTTCGGGTATGGAGTAGCCGCCGGACTAAGTGTACATGTGGTACCCCCTCTGTTAAGTATACGGTAGCCAACAAATGGTGATAATGGTAAGGTAAACAGCAAAGGGTCACATGGGACGGTAAACTTACATATGCGTCATAACGTCCTGTTCGGGGCAATTGACAGGATACTTTTTCAGATGATCCTTTAGGCACTTGGATAATCTGACAGATTGGCTGGAAAGAAAGAGTAAACGTTAAAATTGCAGCAAGAACAATCTGGATCCACCATGAATGAAACTGTCAACGACAATATCAGCGAAACTAACAATTGCGGACGGAGCAAAAACGAAAATCTAGACACACGGGAGAAATTGAAAAGCGAGCCAAGCGAAGTACAGCTCTCCACGAAGTAAGCTAAAAACATGCGATTCAAAGTACCAAAAGCTCAAATAGAGAGAAATAGAAGGATTGGAAAACCATTGCATTCATTCCGGACAACAAAGGAAATAGCTCAAGCATTTTTAAGCAGCTGGGGGAGTTATTGGGTACTGTATGAAGATTTGTCGCAGTTAGATTCAGGCAGACAGCCAACACACACAGGAAAGCGTTAGACGGCCGCTCCGTCCTATTGGGACTCGTCAGTAGCGCGCAGCCGCCGAATCCTGCCGGATTCGAACTCAAGAGCTTACTGTTGCGAGTCAATGAGTTATGCCACTGAACCATGGGTGACGGCAGCGGACTGCGATGGTCGATATCTAACCGTGGTGCATGAGTCTAACTGTGACAAATCTTCACAAAACACCAAGTAAATCCCCAACAAATTACAAAATAATCAGTAGCCGCCTTAGCAGCTTACATACCAGCTCGATTGGTGGCGGCTTGCAAAGGAAATCGTGGCTCTGGGGACCAGCCCTATCCTCTGAACGTTTATAACATAGATGACAGTGGGGGATTAGCCGCGTTATATCGCAGATAGATATCAGTCATGGCGGTCCGATACCGTCACTTATGACTCAGGAGCATAAGTCTCTGGCACGCAAGAGTAAGGTCGCAGTTTCGAATCCGGCAGGATTCGGCTGGTGAGCGCTACGAACGAGTACCAATAGGACGACACGGCCATCTAGCGCTTTCCTAAATATGTGTTTCTAGTCTGCCTGAGTCTAACTGCGACGAATGTTCACAAAATACTTCAAGCATGAATGTTCTACAGACATGGAGCCCAGTTCACCGATGGAATTAAAATTAGCCATCCCAAGTTGTAAAAAGAAACCTGTTATCAGCTGCAGCCGCACGATTGCCGGAAATATCAAGCAAGTAACCAATAAAGAAGACGCATGGCAACCAACACTAGAAAGTGCATAAAGTGTAACACTGAGTGCCGTCACCTCACTTAATGAGAAAAGGTCTGCAGCCCAAATGCGAGCCGTGGTTGGCACATAAAAGCATGAACAGTTGATTCGAGCTACCACCGCTTCGAGCCCCCTCTTCCAGCCATACAGATAGCCAGAGACGAACGCGCTGCGCGAAAGCGGATCCTACGAGTTTTTTAAAAGAAGCAAGGCAGAAACAGTTGTAAGGGCAGCACGAAACAAACGATGCCGCTTTGAAAGCATGCTAAGTACGCACGCACAGAGCAAGGACAAGGGAATATTGTGTCTGGTGAGTGGCGCAGTGACAAGCTGTACGGCATGTTGCAGAACTTAGTCCTACGGGAAAAGTGATTATTCGGCAAAGACAACTCGGTGAAAAGTACAGCACGCATTGCAAGCCATACTCCTCGAGATAAGTCACGCGTTCACGACCAAAACTATTGACCCTTCTGAGGCAATGAGGTTCTTCCTTTGACTCAGTTAAACAAACGATGGTTAACTCACATGAATGTCGGCCAATCCATGTCCAGCAATCAAATCAGTTACACCCGTCAACCATTGGCTATCTGGCTCGCTCGGTCGGCCCAGCCGTTCACTCTGGTATAACCCATCACATTCTGCCTTCTTTCGTGTCCTTTAGCCTCCATATTGTTATACACCCCGTACCCCTTGCCAATCCGCGTCATCGTTGCATCTGCGACCGTGTTCTCCTTGCCACACGCCATCTGAGCTCCACTCCCAGTCCACCTTGTTGTCTCCGGTATCGTCTCAAATGCACTCGATTTCATCTGAGCGTTTTCCTCCAACGTTTATTTCGTATGACCTGGCACCGACTCTTGCAGTCACCATGCCTTTCTTCCACCGTTCTTGACTATCGGGTAATGGTTGAACCCACACTTCCTCCCCCACTGTTAGCTCAGGCAGCATCCGTGCAACACGGTTGTAGTACTGTTTCTGGCTGGTCATTCGTCTTCTCAAATTGTTCTGTAACTTCTCATGCTGTGGCAAAACTGGGCGCGAAAGTATGGCAGATGCCAGCACCAGCGTTCTAGTCCTTCAACTGTATAGACGCTGCACTGGGCTCAAACCGATGTCCGTTGAAGGTATGTTGCGATTCTCCAGTAGCATGGGGTACGAGTCCCCGCCAGTAGCTCTAACCTTTACTAACAGTCGTTTGGCCTGTTTCACTGCTGCCTGTGCCTCTCCTTTCGATTAGTTGTGATATGGGCTGGTTTTATGGTGCATGAATTTCTAGTTGGTTGCGAACGCCTGGAACGCAACGCTAGTAAACTGAGGACTATTGTCGGAGACCAGCTCTTCCAATATTCCGTGCCGCGCGAATTGGCATATGAGCTTATTGATTACTGCTTCTGTGACTCTAGTGGTGAGTAAATCGATTCAAAAAATAATCACTATGGTAATCCACCATGAGTAAGTAATCTTTCTCATTATCACTAATCAATCCACCGCAACCTGTCACAGTCGATCAGGGAGACAATGCGGCAGCATTGGTTCCTTCGTCTGCCGGATTTCGTGTGAACAGGACGCCTCACAATTGGACACACGATCTCTGAATTGACGAGTCATTCCTGGTCAACAGATCAATTTCTTGCTCGGTTAATAGTATAGTTGGCACCCAGGTGAACGCGATGAACGTAGTTCAGCATTTCTTCTCTGAGCAATGACGGAGTCAAAATACGGCTTCCTTGAACAGCAAACCATCATAGACAGAGAGTTTCAAGCCAAAAAGTGAAGTAGGGTGTTGGCTACTTCGGCAGCCGCTTGTTCGTTGCTGGCCAAACACTCATAAAACATCCCAAAAACTTGCAAACGTCGCATCTTTCTCTGTATGACGCCTTATTTTCTTTAGGCGATCTTCTGTTACTGCCAGGTGCTGTACTAAGTTTACTGCTTCGACCTCTTCTAGATTATGCTCAGCTACCTGTAGATGAGCGTGTTCGCGATCAACATTTGTGCACCAAGCGAGTACACAATATTCACGTCGTACATTTGGAGCCGGAGAAGCATACGCTGAAGACATCGAGGAACGACGTACAGCGGTTTCCTGACTATCGACACAAACGGTTTGTGGTCGATACACACCGTAGTCTTTCTTCCGAAAGTATGATTGTTGAAACGTCCCATGGCATAGACTACTGCCAGCAGCTCCCCAATCTGCGCATAGCGCTGGTCGGTCATGATGAGCACTCGGCAGCGGAAATCCAAAGGGTTTCCATTCTGTAAGAGAACAGCACCTATTCCTACTGTCACACTGTACTTCCAAAGGTCGCGCTGGATCGTAATATCCGAGTATAGGCGCGTTACTTATAAGGTGCTTAATAGTTGCAAAGGCCGTTTCTTGTTCCGTTCCCCAACTCCACCTTACTCCTTTGTGTGTAAGCTTCCTGATCGGCGTCATGATAACAGCGAGCCTTGGCATAAAACGGCTCAAATAATTCACCATGCTGCATAATCGATGGATTCTCTTCACCGTTAGAAGATGGTATCTCACGTATTTCCCCACGTATTGCCTCATAGATCGACCGGGATCTTTTGGGTGATGAACACATGTCTATGAAAAATCATCTTGCCTTTCCGAAGTTAAATTTTTTCACCTTTAAGCTTGATGTTCTTTTGCACACAACGCTGCAAGAAACCTTGGAGGTTAGCGTCATGCACTTCTTCTGTCCAGCCGTAAATCAAAACATCGTCTGTCACACATGTTACACCATCTAAATCGTCAACCGCTTGCACCAATCATTCTTGAAAAGTTCGCTCGAAACTTTCAAAGCGGATGGTAAACGCATCCAACGATAACGCCAGAACGGTGTCGCAAATGTAATAAGGCGACTGGATTCATCATCTAGACCACGTGCCAGAAAGCAGAAGACAAGTTCACCTTCGGGAAACACACCTTTGGCCAAACGCGGGAAAATGTCTTCTAGGGTAGGTAACGCATAATGCCCTCTACGCAGCGCCTCAGTCAACGGTTTCGAGTCAATCCACGCGCGCGGTTCGTCCGTTTTCTTCGTAAGGATTGCGACCTGACTAACCCAGTCGGTTGGCTCGTCAACATTGGCAACCACACCCTCTCTCACTAATATGCTCAATTCGGCTGAGAACCTGTCACGCAGTGCAAATAGAACTTTCCTAGCCGGTAGCGCTGTCGGTCGTATCAAAGGAGCTAACGATAAGTGAGCAGTTCCCTAAAACGTTCCCAAACCTGGGCCAAACACAGACGGATACTGGTCACTAATACCGGGTTCTCCCTGGCAAGTATGCACAAAACGACCACAAATAAAAACAACAAAACCAATGGATGCGTACCACTGACGAGCCACAATAGGCGCTTTCCGGATTGGTAGCTTACCTATGCGGCTTGGAATCTAATTGCGATGAACCAACTCGAATGATACCCAAATCCGTCTACTCATTACTGATCAAATATCTAAGCCCTACCAGTATTCAAAGTTGCTGTGTGGATTCACGGCGCTGGCAAGGGAAGACCTGATCGTGACGGCCAACCACTGTCCTCTGCACGGGCAATAACCTGCACGGCAGTGGAGGATGGGTCGGGCTATATCGCAGTTAGGTTTCAATTCGTAATGGTCGGCTGTCGTCCCCCATGGCTCAGTGGCATAAACTGCTGGCTAGTTGGCGTTAGCCTCTAGCAGTCATGGGTTCGATCCTCAGTAGGGGACCGATGGATGCGCACCACTGACGAGCCCCAATAGGGCGAAACGCGCGTCTGGGGATTTTCCGGGTTGGTAGTTCACCTATGCGGCTTGGAATCTAATTGCGATGAATCAACTCGAATGATACCCGAATTCGCCTACTCATTACTAATCAAAAACCGAGAGACTG